ATCCTCCTGGAAAGTCTGCTAAGGCACATGGAAAATAAAGAGGTGATTGGTGACAGCCAATATTGCTTCACTAAGGGCAAGTCATGCCTGACCAGTCTAGTGGCCTTCTACAACAAGGCTACAGAGATGGTGGATGGTGGCAGAGCAACTGACGTCATCTACCTGGGTTTGTGCAAGGCGTTTGACACTGTTGTACTTGACATCCTGGTCTCCAAGCTGACAAGACAGGGATTTGACAGATGGACCACTTGGTGGCTAAGAAATTGGCTGGATGGCTGCACCCAGAGAGTTATGGTCAATGGCTCAATGTCCAAATGGAAGCAGGTGACAAGTGATGTCCCTCAGGGGTCAGTATTGGGACCAGTGCTGTTCAACATCTTTGATAGAGACATGGACAGTGGAACTGAGTGTTTCCTTAGCAACTTTGCTGACAATACCAAGCTGTGTGGTGTGGTTGACACCCAAGAGGGAAGGGACCTGGACAGGCTGGAGAGGTGGGCCAGTGCCAACCTCATGAAGTTCAAAAAGGCCAAGTAGAAGGTCCTGCACCTGGGTCGGCACAGCCCCAAGGCACAAATACAGGCTGGGGGAAGAATGGCTTGGGCGCAGTCCTGAGGAGAAGTACTTGGGGGTGGTAGTGGATGAGAAGCTTGACATGAGCCACCAGTGTGTGCTGGAGCCCAGAGAGCAACTGCATCCTGGGCTGCATCAAAAGAAGTGTGGCCAGCAGGGCCAGGGAGGTAACTCTGCCCCTCTACTCTGCTCTGGTCAGACTACACCAGGAGTACTGTGTACAGTTCTGGTGTCCTCAGCACAAGAAAGATATAGACCTGTTGGAGATGGTCCAGAGAAAGGCCACCAAGATGATCAAAGGCCTGGAGCAGCTCTGCTATGAAGACGGGCTGAGAGAGTTGGGGCTGCTCAGCCTAGAGAAGAGAAGGCTCCAAGGACACCTTATAGCAGCCTTCTAGTACTTTGGGGGGCCTACAGGAAAGCTGGGGAGGGGCTTTTCATCAGAGAAGATAGTGATAGGACAAGGGGTAATGGTTTTAAACTGAGAGAGGGGAGATTTAGGTTAGATATTAGGAAGAGATTCTTCACTATAAGGGTGGTGAGGAACTGGAATGGGTTGTCCAGGGAGGTTGTTGATGCCCCATCCCTGGAGATTTTTAAGGCCAGGTTGGACGAGGTTTTGTGCAACCTGGTCTAGTGGTAGGGTTTCCTGCTCATGGCAGGGGGTTTGGGACTTGATGATCTTTAGGGTCCCTTCCAACCTTAATGATACTATCATTCTATGATTATTGCTTATTTATTGAATATTCAATATATATGCTTTGTATGCAGTCCTATTCATATAATCATATGTGTATTAAATAAAACATGGCAGCGTGAGCCTAACGTTAATATGGCACACCTGGTACCAATTCAGTCTGACAAAGATTTGGTAACAGTACATTTAAAAATCCCCCTTGAATTTTGAAACACAATAGAGCTTTTCAGCTTCACAGATGACAACACATCTAACACTTTTTTCCTTGTATGAAGTTTTCCTGCCCACCTTGATTCTTCAATTTACTCAATTCCAGCCTTCCCATTTGTTTACCTCAGTACTGTGATATTTTCTAACATTTGCTACAACATGCCTCCCAAATGCCAAACTTCTGCCTTCTGCAGGTAACTCCCATAACTTAACACACGCCCTCTGCTAAGGGCAAGGGAAACAAAGAGGTCTTCATTTGACGTTCGCTTATCTTCCCAACCTGCATGTACCTCATCAACTTTCACAAAGAATATTCATATTGAATATGAAAGCACCTTCTCCAGTTACAGTGATATTCTGCTCATAGGATTACTAAATGAAATACTCCAAAAGCTTTTAGCCCACAGCTGTAAAATAACAAAAAGCACAATGGCACCAGTCAACAGTAGCAGCAGCACAAGACATGCGGTGAGGTAAATACACAACCCATACATTAAACAAAGGCATGTACACAACAGGCAAAAAATAAAGGGCCACACAGAGTAGTACACCCTCTTACATGTCTGCCTTTGTTAGCTGGAATACAGGAAGGAGAACGCTTTAACAGAGAAAGAAGGAGAGTATGTTACAAAACCAAACAATTAAACATACATCAGCTGAGAATTTGTTTCTCTTTATCTCCTGAGGCAGTGTTTAGACACAAACAAACTTGTTCACTTTTTAAAGTATTTTGAAAATAAGGTATTCTGGGGCAGCAAAAGGAAAATAAATGGTTATTGTAAAGTCTATAGTTTTACACTGGGCAATAGGCGTGAGCCTGCAGACTATGTTACTCTAATAAGCATAATTTGCAGTTACCATCTCTCTATTTTGAGCAAAATGAAAAAAGCAGTATCTTGGAGATGCAATATGTCCAATTTAAAGTACACTCAAGAACCAGAACTATTCTAAACATAATTATGAATATGCAGATAGAGTCAGGGCTCTCACCACACACTAGTATGGCTTATTCTGTTTAGTATTCAATAAAGACAATTCAGAAAAATTATTTATTCTGTGGTTATTTATGAAGTTCAGTACTGTTTAGTTGAACCAAAGCTTACGGGGACTGCATGTGAGGAGAGACTGCAGGAGGATTTATAAAAATCTATTTTTATTTTGTAACATAACAGGGGAAATACTGTGAGGAAAATAATTTTGCCAAGGGAAAATGGGATTCTGTCTTATTGTAATTAAATAATCACAAAATATTTTTTAAATAAGACAAAATGAACACTTCTAGTAGCTAGTGAGATACAAAAAGATTCACCTGGCAAAAAAACAAAACTCAACACTTCCATTATCAGATACATGTAGTGAACACAGGTGACTTAACACCGAGACGATGCTACTGAGAAACAGCCTGCAACACAGGTGAAACAGCGGAAAATATTTAGAAATGAGTATATTAGTCACTGGGGGTGACTTCCCTTCCCATCAAAATCAGAAACCAGGGACAGCAAAACCCATTCCTACACCCCTTTGCACCATCCCACGTGCACAGGAGATACAAGGATAACTTCTGATCATGTGGGCTTTTGGAACTATGAGAATTTAGGCACCAGATCTGTCAACCTGACCAAGTATCCTTCTGTGGATTTGAGGAAGGATACATGGAAGCAATAGTGACTGCTACTCATCTAAAAATTGAGCTGCTATTTTTCCTGCTCAGCATCTGCAGGCTACAGAGGCAGCAGATTTTTACTTCTCTCCAGAAGAAATTTAAAAGGTACTGGTTCCCTCATTGAAATAATTAGAATTAACTCCAGTGATGCACAGAGTGCCATTAACAATTACGCTATTTGGATGGCAGACACGCAAGACATACTGACTCTACTGAAATGTAACCAGTGGGTCAAACTGTGCTACTTACATAACTATATGCTAAACAGACTTCAGAGATCTTGCAAAAAGTGCTGTGCATCTGTATATTATTTTACAATCTGTCATTCCAACTAGAGTCTGGAGAAGCAATATGGGCCATTAGTAAGATTTACTTTGGGTTCTTGATTACAGGAGAAACCTTCCTGACATGCAGCATTGCATGAGTCTGACCTGAGCACTTGCTATTTTTCCTTTGTCTTCAAATTTAGATCTCACACTTTTCAGTCTGACTGAGCACATTTTAATTCTTCTTGAAATGCTGCAGGGAACACTGCTCTTCACGATAACTACTGTCAAGAAGAGACACTGGTAAGGGAATGGAGGTCACATCTGGGGGGAAGATGTTTTAATAGCCTTATTGTCATTTAAATCTGCCTAATGTATGGATATTGAGCCAACTCAATAAGCTTAAACATGAATAACCATTTTGATAATTCATATGCTATATATTTTGAATTGTGCTATGAACAAATCCTGTAATTATCCAAAAAATGAAAGATGCAGAACTGACTTTAAGCACTACTTAATTATACCACCTTTCACCCACTAACATAGGTATCAGCTTTACTTCAATTTCTAATAAAGACAGGTAACTCAACAAGTCTTGTATTTGTCTGCAAGGTACTCTTCCTATCTTTGAACAGTCAACTCTCCTGCAATTTTGCCAGAAGAGAAAGAATCTGCCCTGGTGCTGGAGACAGCTCCTCACCAGTCCAGGCCAGAAATGTACTCTTGCCCAATCCAACTACAGAAAAACTCGCTCCTGCTGGATTCAGACTGAAGATGTAACACGGGAAATTTGATTCTGTGTGTATTAAATCATCCACATGCAACAATATACACATTAATACCTGTAGTTTAATCCAAGGCTCAAAGATGGATATCTGAAAATATTTGATCTGGGTGGACCAAGCAAGAAAAATGTCTTAAGGGATGTATGGCAACAGCTGGAAATTACTCACTTGCACAGATTAAAAAATGTTATTTTGTCAAAATGCTTGTGAAAAAAGCGTTGTCTTCTTAAAAATCAAAAACCACAACGAACAACAAAGAATGCCACCAAAAACTCAACAGTAAATACATAATAAAGTACTGATGTCATTCAAAACTAACTAGACAGCAAGCAGGAAAACCTTCTTGTCCTAAGTTTCCCCTTGCAAAACAGAACATTATCAGCTACTCCGCCACAAATGTATGTTATTTCTCTTTTAACAGCTTTTAGGAGAGATGATTAGGTTTTTTTGAAGGTAACTTGCTGGGAAAGAACCTGCTGATACAAAGTAAGTGTTCCTAATACTAAAGCGACAGAGAGACCCTTCTTTAATCCAAATAAAGGATACAGCTATTACATTTATTGTAGATTTAACATGACAAGAAACAATACTCTGGGTTTTTTGTGGAAGAAAATTCCAATATCAGCAAGACAAGGTTTTCTATATGCTATATGAAAATGCAAACTAATACCTACAGACACACCCTCATATTTTGTCTAAGGTATATATACCTGATTTACAGAAATAAAGCATCTAGACGAAAAGCATTCTTTCAGAGCTTGTGAAAGGAAATGCAATTAGTAGAACAGGCCCATATACTGTACATTTTTGTTACACCCTTCACAACAGACATTTTTAGAATTAATTATATTGTTTTTCAATGCAAATAGAATTACACAATTTTAAATATGTAAGTATAAATATGTGTGTATGTGTATACACATATATATAAGCACACACAGAAATATATACACAATATACCTACAGAGTAGTAATGGATGGATGTGTAGCATATACTTTGATTTTAAAAAGCTTATTATTATTTACTTTAATGTCCCTACTTCTTCAGTTTGGAAGGAATATAAAGGAGTCAACTTTCAGCTTTTAACTCAATTCCTTTAGTATGGAATTGACTAGAATAAGTACTCCAATACTGTCCTGACAGAAATGCAGCATCTCAAATGGCAATAAAAAGTAGTAAGGTAACTTCAGTTATAATGAAAACTTCTTACAATACAGGCTTAAAAAGAGACGATATTTTATTTGAGCAAAAATAAATGAACTGTATGCAAGGATAAAATTTCATTGAAGTGATCAGAAAATTTTTTGGAACAACTAATAATATGAAGCAATAGAACTAAATGAAACAAACATGCCATTGATTTTGGAAGCGTTTTATACAGGCCGTATCAGTAGATAAGGCCCAAAAGCAGCTTATTCACATTAGAAAAACTGCTTGCAATTAACAACTCTTCACCCATACCTACAGAAAAACATTAAAAATAGAACATTTGTTTACATAAACAGGTATAAGTATGCTATTACAAAATCTGTTCTCCGTTGCACTTTCAGATTTTTTAAGTTGACTGCATTATTGTTTGAATATTCCAAGTCAATGGAGTACTGATCTGCTATTGAGGGATTTAGTGGTTTAAAGTTAAGACTTACGTCATCCATAAAATCAATCAATGAGGATGAAGAGGAGGAAAAGGAATCCTATTTTAATGAAAACAGCAGTAAAAAAAAAAGAGACAGAGAAAGAGATGGATGAAGAAAACAGTTCAGTATAAATAAAAATACAAAAATAAAGAACTGTAAATAACTAGTGCAAGTAAGTTACCTCAGTAAGTTTTTATTAATTGCCTTTCATAGACAATTAATCAGCAAATTACCTGTTGGTTGATTAAACCTATTTTTTCTCCAGCATTCACTCAATAAAATAGTATTTCTAAACTCCAACAGGATTTTTATGTTGAAAGTAACTTGTAAAACAAATAATTAGAAAAGAAATTTTAAAAAATGGTGTTAAAGTGAGGACTTCAATTGAGAAAACTGAATTAATGAATACACAATGAAAAGAAAGTAAATTTTGGAACATCAGTAATATTACGGGTTATGCTCTTTTATATAAATGTGGTGACCTTGTATACCTATTAGGAAAATCAGGAGCAAAATTTAGACCAAGATGTAACTGGTGGTGCTCTGAATTCAGGACAGCCAGTATTTCACCCCAGCTGTTCTTTCAAAAGAAAAATTATGCAATGCTTACTTAAAAAAAAAAAAGATATAAAATGTACGCTATATTTCAATTTCTGCCCTCCAAGTTTTCTACCTAAACTGGTCTTTTGTCTAAATGTGACAAAGGAATCAAACTGTTTTATTTTTTAAGTACATAGGATCTGTGGAAAGAGATGAACAGTAATTATCTGGATTTAACAGATCTGTGTAAAATGAACAGAAGATAAAACTAACCTAATAAATATACAGTGCCAATGACTTAATGGAATACATTCAAGAATTATTTATGGATTTTCTCTCATTTTTACCAAACCAGTATCTGCATTACTTAGCATTTTTCTGAACACAAAGTAAGACCATTTGAACAAGAACTTAGCTTTTTATGTCCACTACAAAAATCAGGAAAATTTCTGCATTCAAGATCTGAGAGAGAATTCAGTATGATTACTAACCTTCAAGAGTAGACAGTCAGCACTGTAAATGACAAACACTTCTCACATATTATTATGCACAAATACAAATGGGACAAAATGAATAAAATACAGTAGTGAACTCTCAGCAAATATGCATATAAACTACACATAACAGCAGTAATTCCCCTAACTAACAACGAGAATAGTTGTACACTTACTTCAAATTGATCCAGAGCAGAGGTAGGCGCATTCAAAAATGCCAAGAAAGAATTCTGTGAGTCTTGGTGCTTTACACCTAGAAAACAGCAGCAGGTTTTTAAGCTACAGAAAAATGACCTTTTCATGGAGGGCCTTTGCCTTGCTGAACCAGCGTTTCAGCACCAACCTGAACCACCTACATTTTTATAAATGAGTTGTCATTCTTTTTTAATAGACATACATCCAACTAAGCAAGCAGTGTATGTTTAGGTAATCTTTTCCAAGCAAGGATGTGTGGTGTGAGTTCAACATGAAAAGATACTGTACATGTCTCTTATACAGAAGGCCCAGGTTTCTAATGTGCTAATGTCCATTTACAACGTGCATGGTATGACACACAGGCATACAGACTAATGCAGCAGGTGTCACCCCTGCTCAAGACATATGCTGGGTACCTGTGACAAGACAGCTTTAGCACACAGTGAGGTGCCACACAAGCATACAGAGCAGGCTGCTTGGGGAACACACTGCATTTCTAAATAATATGGGTTCCTTAACCCGTGCTCTATGCCTGTCTGCTACCTCCTACTTTCAAATACCTAGAAGTAACACAACCATGTGTAAAACTTCAAACGTCTCTGTTGTGCTACACCATGTACATGGTTTCCAGCCAGTAAGCAGAGCAGGATGTAGCCACAGAGGCAGGCACATCTTAACATTTCAACTTCATTCAACTGATTATTATGACTTTTTTATTTTTTCTTTTCTTTGGGGAAGAATTCAAGTTGCTGTATGGATTTTTATAAATGACATATGTGTACAGAATCTAGCTTCCTGAACACTATATTTTTTATTATATATACACACTTTTTATGACTGGAGCCTGCCTGACTGTGCATCGCAAAGGACTGATGCTATCAAAGGTCACTTATTTTTTTTAAAAAATGTCAGTGTCTTGCTCTAACTGGCCATATCACCCTGTTTGCTCTAAATATAACCCACAGTGAGTGAAGATGTTACAAACACCCTTTCCTCTTTAAAATATAAATAAATAACTGGAAGACTAAAAGCAATCCTCAAATTAACTGCTATTTTACAGAATAATTTTAGTAATCTTTTTCCCCACTCTCCTCATTTTTTGGTGCAAATTTATAAATAGCATGGCATTCAAGTGCTAATCTAACTAATCCCTCCATAGAAATAAATTTCAAAACATAGGAAGATACTCTCCCACTGTAAAATGATTATACTTGAATCCTTTATATAGGGTTAAGTATTAATTATGAATTCTTAACAGATTTTTTTTTTAATGCAAAGGAATTCAGAGGCTGAGCAAACCACGCATAATATTTTAGACAACTGAAGAACCAATAAATGAAAGCTAAACATAACAAAGCATTATTGTCTCCAGGAAGATGCTATCAAGAGTTCATCTCCAAGTTGGGAGTCCTAGAAGACAGTAAATTATCCATGAGCCAGCAATGTGCCCGTGTCGCCAAGAGAGCCAATGAAATCCTGGGTTGCATATGGAATAGTGTGGCAAACAGGTTGAGAGAAGTCATCCTTCCCCTCTACTCTAACCTGGTGAGGCCAGATCTGGAATACTGCGTCCAGTTCTGGGCTCCCCAGTTAAAGAGGGAAAGAACTACTAGGGAGAGTCCAGTGGAGGGCAGCAAAGATGACTGGGGGATTGGAGCATCTCCCTTATAAAGGAAGGCTGAGGGAGCTGCGACTCTTTAGCCTGAAGAAGAGAAGGCTGAGGGGGAGACCTTATTAATGCCTATAAGTATCTAAAGGGTGGGTGCAGGGAGGATGAAGCCAGGCTCTTTTCAGTAGCTCCCAGTGACAGGACAAGGGGCCAGGGGCACAAGCTGAAACATAGGAAGTTCCATTTAAATATGAGAAAAAACTCATAAATATGAGGGTGACAGAGCACTGGAACAGGCTGCCCAGGAAAGTTGTGGAGTCCCCTTCTCTGGAGATTTTCAAAACCTGCCTTGATGCAGTCCTGAGTAATGTGCTCCCTTGGATCCTGCTTTAGCAGGGGAGTTGGACTAGATGATCTCTAGAGGTCCCTTCCAACTCTGACAATTCTGTGATTCTGTGAAGCACTTGGAAGAAGCATATTTCTGGTCTCAGTGCTAAGCCCCAAGATGAATAAATATCAATTCATTAAGTCTTATCATTAATCAGCATCAGTCACTTTTTAATGTTCCGTACAGATTTGTATTATTTTTACCAGTCAACTAGCACTGGGAGGCCTATATATAAGAGATACGTCTTAACTACAATACATCATTGACTGACATGCATTTAGGTTGCAAAGGCTGAACAATATTTGACATCCCTAGGCAGGAATTGTTGCCAGGGTTTTGAAACTCCTACAGTTCCCTCCAGAAAATTAGGTAATTCCATTTTGCATGAAAAATCA